TGGTGATTAAGTATTTTACAAATTGTTTAAAAACCAGAAAGAAGGATGTGATACAAGAAGCAATGTGAGACCATAAATTGGTAAATGTATTATAAGGCTAAATAAGTATTAACTGCCAAAAAAAAAAAAAAAAAAAGAAAGAAAGAAAGAAAGAAAAAAGGATGACTAAGGTAAGGGTTAAAATAAGGTAGAGCTAAAATATTAAACATCAATAATATTTTTTAAATGGAGGGAGAGTTCAGAATTAAAGAGCTATGAGATAAATTGTTAGGGAAGAAGACAGAGATAGCTGTAGATTTTTGTTAATATTCACCTTAATACTTGGGGTGGGAGGGCAACTGGTAAAAAAATATATATATATATGCAGAATGCATTACTTCCAAACAAATAGTTACAAAAAATAAAATCAACACTGTAGACAGGAATTGTCAACCATTCTCCATAGAGGGCCAGATAGTAAATATTTTCATCTTTGGCAGCCATACAGTCTCTGTGAAAAGTACTCAACTTCACCACTGTTGTGCAAATGCAGCCATAGACAAAATGTAAAGAAATGAGTATGGCAATGTCTCAATAAAATGTTATTTACAAAAGTAGACAGCTGTCTGGATTTGGCCTACAGCCCACAGTTTGCTGCCCTTTGCAACAGATGGCAAAGGGACAATAAAAAGTAATAAACAAAAAGTATATATTTAGAAAACAAAAAATAAGTCCTAGGATCACAATAAATGTAAATGGATTAAAATCATCTATTAGAATATCCAAGTTGAAGAATGATACGGTATGATATCATGTACATACAGGTTTAAAACACACATACAATACCATTTGTTGTTGACAGTTATGTTCATGTTTAGTAAAATTACTGAAAGGGGCACATACAATTTGAGAGAATAGTACCTTAGACAAAGCATGAGGAGAATAGATTTGGAGAGGGATACAAATGCCACATCAATGTGTCAAAGATTTTGTTTTCAAAGCAAACAAAAAGTCAAAGCCAATTTGGTGAAATATTAATATTTATTTATTCTATGTAGTGGGTACATAGGTATTTGTTACAATACTCTATATTTTTCTTAGGTTTGAAAGCTTTTTATTTTTTAATCACTTGCCTCTCAATTACACTTTAACAATCATTAGGGGAGTTGTATTATAAACTTCATTTCTCCAGATGAGAACTTCAGGTTCTAGAAGGGTAAGAGGATTGGAAAACTGAGACCATGATCTTCAAACTCAATTAAATGTGCTCTAGATACTGCATGATACTTTGTGAGAACTCGAAGACATGTGTTTAGCAAGCACTTCCCCTCCATAATCCCTGAGGCATCTACCTTTTGCCAGATACTCATTCTCTTCTCATTCTCTTCTAACTAAATTCCTGTGTAAACCACTTCCTATCCCTCCTCTGCTCTCTGGAAATTTGCAGTATGAAAATATAGCTTGAATCACACCCTACTCCAGCTCTTGAATACCAGCTGTGGGCCCAAGGATATAAAAACAAAAAGGATACTGCTCTCTCCAACTGGTTTAATTTCCAACTCAACTATCCTCTACCTGGACAGGCATTAACTTCTTCTCTAAGCCTCTATTTCTTCATCTGTAAAATGGGAATTACCATCTCTAACCTAAATGATTCCCAGGATTTTTGTAAGAATAAAATGAAATTACCTAGTAGATTACTATTCTGACAGAAAAAGTCCAAACTCCTGAGCATGCCACCCAAAGCTGCCTTAAATCTCACCCCTCCCTGACTTTGAGTGTTATCTCCTATGACACTCACTCTATGCCCACTCCCCAGTCATTCCACTTACTCTACCCATTCCAGGCATTAACTGGGTTGATGTAAAAGTAATTGCGGCAGTTTTTGCCATTGAAAGTAATAGGCAAAAACCACCACAATTACTTTTGCCCCAACCTAATACCAGGATATTTCCTCTTTCTGCACTGCCTTCTTGCCCTGGCTCTTCATCATTAGTCAAAATTATATTTTACCTGAAATAACGTGACTTTCAAGAAGCTTTCTCAACATCTTCAGTGATGAGTAGATGTCTCTTCCATCCACCTTTCATGGTCTTCGCTTATGGATTACTATTAACACTCTTCCTTATATTCAAACTATGTCAGTGACTAAATTATGAGTTCCTGGATGAAACAGCCTTCAGAGTGTCCAACTTTGGTGGTCAATAAATGCCTCTGTGATTGACTGAACAAAGCTGTCGCCAATTGAGCTCCATTAGGTTGAGTAGGGTTGAACTGAGTAAGCTGAGTACCGCTGCGCTGTGTTGAATTGAGCCAAACTGGGTGGTGTTAAAGACAGCATGTTGAGCTAAGCTGAACTGATCTGAGCTCTGAGCTGAGTTGAGCTGAGCCCAGCTAAGGTAACATGAGCTGAGGTCCTCTGAGCTGAATTTAATTGTGCTAAACTGTGTTGGGCTCCACTGAGCTGAGTCAAGCTGCATTGATCTGACCCTAGAAACTGAAGATCTCACAACAGTTTGGGCTTCTTTAGATAGAAACACTCTGCCACCTACTCCCAATTATACACTGGTCGTTCATCCACTAAGAATTAAACCACTTCAAGAGAAATAAAAAGGCTGACTTCCACCAAGTACAAGGGCCTAGGCAAGCTATGTTGCTCAGTGAATTGTGTACATTTCCTAGGTATGGGATCACAGAAACCAACTGGAATGAATTTCAGAATGTTTTGTGTAACTGCTGTCTTCTTCCTGGTTGCCCCATTGCTTAGGCAGAGCCCAATGGGGGAAAAGAGTTTGTGGGAATAGCTCTCACCCAGGAGGGCTTGCAATGGCAAATTGCTCCCAAGGAGAGATGAGGGTTGAGTGCTGACTAACCAAAAAATAATAAATATCTGCTACATCTAATATCCCCCACAGTCAACAAAAAAATCAAACAATTCCATCAGAAAAGAATTAGGTTTATAAGGCAGCATGTTGGAGTGAAGAAAAGATGGACTTTGAAGTCAGGGAAATCCTTGTGACTTGTTAGCTGTAGAAACTTAGATTTTCATCCCTCTGGATTTGAGTTCCCCTGTGCATCAAATGGATAAAATAAAATAAAAATAAAAACCACCTACCCCATAGAGTTGCAAAAAGAATTAAATAAAAAGATCTTTTATGAGGCTCCTCCCATAGCACTTGACATATGGTAGATATTTAAACAGAACTATCCCTCCCCTCTATAATGGTTTCATCTGCAACTGCTGTGGATGTTTCTTTGAAACTCTTCATTGAGTCATCTGGGCCCTGTAGACTCACCCTGGTCATACAGGGACTTACATTTGAAGAAAAGCAGTGAGTAGTTTCACACATACCTGGTCCTCCCTAGAACACTTTAGGCCAGTCACAGTCCCTCACCAGGCTCCATTTCCCAATTGTTAAAGGATGGGTTGTACCGGACAGCCTGTAAGAGCCCTTTCAGTTCTGACACCTAGGATCGCCTGCTGATTTCCCCGGGCACCCAGGAAAGCAGAAGCCCTCAAGGCCCGTCTTATGCACACATGGTCGCTGGCCACAGTAAAGAACATGCATCATTAATATTGCTCATGCAAAGTGGGACGTTCTGGAAATGAAAAGGTTTATTTATGGGGGCCTGGGATGGGGAACCAACATTCTTGCTGTGGCCGCCCATCACACTGGCCCCTTTCAGCATCTGAATGGGCTATGCACCTCCCACTCTGGGTATTTGCACCCACACCATCCTCTCTGTTGGAAGGTGCTTGCCTATCTTTCACCTAGTTAACACTTGATCTACTCTTCCACCAGGGCTTGGCTCCGTCTTGATTTTTTCAGGGATGCCCCACTTGGCCTCCAAGATGAGTCAAATTCTCTGATTATACATTCTCATAACAGCATGGGTCTCTCTGCATTCGACATATATTGCCACAATAAGGCTGCGTAACAAAACCACCCTGAAACTTAACACAACAACCATGTATGATTTCTGTTTGTCTGTAGATGACTGAGCAGTTCTGTCCATCTGGGCCAGGCTTAGCTGATCTCAGCTGGACTGGCTCTTGCATGAACAGCTCACTGCTGAGTTGGCTTGGGGGCTGGCTGGCCTATGACACTTCAGCTGATGTGGCTCTTCTGTACTCTCTGTGGTCTCTTTTCTGCAGCGGGCTTGCCTGGCCACATCCTCACGGGGTGCAGTAGCCTGCCAGGCCTCTGGAGGCCTAGAATCAGAACTGACACAGCATAACTTTCTCTGCAATCTATTGGCCAAAGCAAGTCACACATCATCCTGTATTCAAAGGGTAGAGAAATAGCAGCCACCTCTTAATGGGAGGAACTGCAATGTCACTTAGCAAAGGGCTTAGGTACAGGAAAGGGAAAAAAGGGTGGGCAGGTAGAGCTGTTTCTGCAATCGATGTACCTCAATCCCCCTTTAAAGTACCTGTCAAAGTCATTTTCCCCTCTCTGTATGTGACTTATTATCCTCCCATTATACCATAAGTCCCGGGAAAGCTGGAACCAAGTCCTGGGATATTTTTTTCTCGTCACTCTATGCCCAGTATTCATTCATTAATTTACAGATGACCTACAAGAAAATGAGCACTGTGTTTAGTATTTCTTAATTATATTATCCCAACCTTTACCTTAACCTATTGAATAAACATTATGTTCCCTCCTTTACCTGTTGGTGTATTGAGACTCAGAAAGAAAAGACAACTCCCCTAAAGTTGTAAACTGAGATCCAGCAAAATGGTTGTATTAGTCTGTTTTCACACTGCTGATAAAGACATATCTGAGACTGGGAAGAAAAAGAGGTTTAATTGGACTTACAGTTCCAATGGCTGGGGAGGCCTCAGAATCATGGCAGGAGGTGAAAGGTACTTCTCACATGGTGGTGGCAAGAGAAAATGAGGAAGATGCCAAAGCAGAAACCCCTGATAAAACCATCAGATCTCATGAGACTTATTCACTACCATGAGAACAGTATGGAGGAAACTGCCCCCATGATTCAAATTATCTTCCATCAGGCCCCTCCCACAACACATGGGAATTATGGGAGTACAATTCAAGATGAGATTTGGGTGGGGACACACAGCCAAGTCATATCAATGGTGTAGCAGTCATGAGCACACAGTATATCAATATTCCGAGCTCTTCTCTGAGAACATAATAGATGTTTTTCTGGTGCCTTGAAGCTAGGTGGACCATGAAACTGGCTTTGGCCAATGAAATGTAAGCAGAAGTAATGTGTGTCACTCTCTGGTAGAAACTTTATGAGCCAGTGTGCAACTTACCCTGTAATGGCAATAGATGACATTCCAGGTGATGGTTGCTCTGTTGGCCTGAGTCACTGAGCAACAACAAGCCCAAGGCAACACAGCCAAGCCCCCAGTTGATTTTTGCTGGAATGTAATATGTATAAGATGTAAGTCTATGTTGGATTCAGCCATCAAGATATTGGAATTATTTATTACTGCAGCATAACCCAGCCTAACCTGACTGACACAAATGCCTACAGCCATCCACGGACCCCAGGATCACCACCTCTGTTCCCAGTCTATGACATCAACAGAAATGCATATTCCTGAGTCTGCACAGTCCAACGAGTAAGAGAGACTCACATGGAAGCCCCTGAGGTATTTCCTGCCCCAGCCCCATACTGATCAAGGGGATGGACAAGGGGCTGGGAGAGTTCAGATGGAGGAAAGAACAGACCCTGGGACATGGCCGCATGTGGGGCCCTTCCCCTGGGGCCTTCACACAGACCACAGCAAGGAACTTCTAATAGCAGGTTGTAGTTGGCATACTCAACTAGCCACTTGGCTTGGAAAATAAATCAACAGCTTCTGTTGCCAGAAAAGCCACAGCTGCCAAACCCCCTTTGAGGTTTGGGGGCCGCACATGCTTGATGCTTCCAGCCATTGGGAATCAACATGCATTTCCAGAGGGAGGGTCCAAAGGAAGCCACTGGTAAAACCCAGGGCTGTGGTTGGCTGACACGAGGCCTCAGATTATCCAGCCGAAGTCCAAGTCTCTGGTCAGACCCACAGACCCATCTTCAGCATGCCGCATGCCCTCCGCTGGTCCCAGCAGCCTTGAACCTGGGCTCAGGTGGGTGAGGCAGAAAGAGGACACTGGCAGATAAAGCAAACTGCTTCAGCTCCACTTGGCTGTGCACTCCCCTCCCTAAGCCTTATTGTGATTGTTTAAGTGGAATGACATAGACCATAGAATTGGAAGCTGGCACATATTTCCTGACATCAAGACCTTACAACTCTCCCCAAGTTCCTACCATGAGCCCAGCACAGGGCACAGCTGTTTTCATGCATTGTGCCATTCTATCATTTAATGTCTGGGTGGAGATTTTTATTGTTCCCATTTCATAAATACTGAAGCTCGGAGAGGCTCACAGTGAGCATGTGGTTAGAAGTAGTAGGATAAAACCCAGCACTCCAGAGTATGGGAGCCTCACTGGCACAGGAGGCTGCAAAGGGAAGTCAATGGGCACATGGTGGGGACAGGCCTCTGACCTCACTCTTGCCATTGACCTCCATTTTTCTTTTTTTTTTTTTTCCCCAGCAACAAGGGTCATGCCAGCACCCAGGCTGCTCACCTGGGCAGTCTCCAAACACCTTGCATTCCCAGGCAAACCAGAAGCACAGGCTCCAAGATGGTGGGACCCCAATGCCGACACAACCAGGCCTGTTAGGGAAGAAACATGAAAATGCAATCAAGCGGGGTGGGAATGGGTGTTCATGATTCCACCAAATGTCTGAGAGTGGGAACATCGCCCACGACAAGTATGTATCAACACCTACAGAAACAGAGGGAGCGTTTTGGGACACCGTGCGCTCAGGCCTGGAGATGTCAGCTTCGGGGTGGATTATAAAACAGCCCAGCAGCCTCTCCTGGGAGGCTGAGAGGCCCTTGCTGAACAGCTGCTCTGAGCACGGCTCTCACTCTCAGCCTGTGCTCAAGCGCTTCCTCCGTCTTCCTTTTAACCAATCATTCCTACAGCCTTTCAGCGCACATAAATCCCAGTCTACAGATGAAGAAACTGAGGTTCAGGGAGGTGACATGACCTGGCTCACACAATAAGTGGTGAAGCCAGGACTTGGCCCATGTCAGTCTGGCTGCAAACTCACGCTCCTAACCCTGACCACCCTTGACTGTCACCATGAGGCCTAGGCTCAGAAACAGGCGACATGCTGGTGCAGGAATCAATTCTGGTTGGGACAGGCTTGTTCAACTGGGCTCCATGGAGCCATGGCCACTGGGCCACATATGTGCTATGAGACCTTGAAGTGGACATTCACCTTGGCAACCCTTAGTTCCAAGTTCCCGTAAAAGTAGACTTGTGGGCTCCCCTGGGAGAGTAAGGGGGTGGCTGTGGTGGTGAGGTTCCCTGCAGCTGGTAGGGAATCCAGGACCTCAGATTGCTCCTCCGAGACAGGGGCAATGTTAAGCCCTCCGCCTGCATGAGCTCCTGTATCTTGTCTTGATGATGGTGATTCTTATTCTCACCCACACATCAGCAAACCCATTCTGGGGTGTCTCCAGGAGAGTAGAGCTACCTCCTAAGGACAAACCATTTTCCAGAAATGGTTATTTGCTCTAAATCCCAGAAACTAAGGCAGGTGCATGCATGACATGTGCTTGTTAAACTCACGCCATGTGATCTCCTCAACTGCCAAAGACAATTTGAAGGGTCACACTCGCACACTCACACCCTAGGATGTCCAGCAAAATGTAGCGTGCCAGCCAGAATGCAGACTACTGGGAAGGGGAGGCATGTCCTATTCCCCTCCTTATCCCCAGGGTCTGAGAAAGGCCTGGCATAGAGTAGGTGCTCAACAAATCTAAAATGAACGAATGAATGGACTAAGAATACTAATAGACATTTGCATAAAACATTATCATTTACAAGGCACATTTCCAGCTGTTGTCTTGTTCAATCTTGATTAGAGGTAGTCGACACCATGCCACTTTGCAGATGAAGAAATGGAAATGGAAGCGCTGGGAGGGAGGAGCAGGAATTCTTCACTCTAATGGCAAATCAAATCTCTGCTTATTGGATTCCTTTTCACCCATCGAGGCTTAGATTTCACACCAGCTCCTCTGTGAAGCCTTCCCAGTCTTCCCCATAACTGGTATTTTCCTTCCCTGACCTCCCAGAGTTCTTTAACCAACCTCTATTATTTTTTTTTCACACTCTGGCTGCTATTAGGATTGGTCAAGGACATGCCCATCTCTTCCTTAATGGCAGTGTCTTGTACTTCTCATGTCCCCACACACAGTAGGTCCTCAACCAATGCGTGCCAACTTAAAGATGTCCTTGACAAGCTGCTTGTGGCTGACATGTCAGAGCTGGAAAGGGCATTAAAGATCAGCTATCATCTTTTCATTTAATAGAGCCTTGCCCGTGTTACGCAGAGAGTTGACCTGTCTCCCAACTTCTAACTCAAGGCTCTTCCCAACGAGCGGACTCTAACTAACACCGAGACTGACTCTCCCATGCCAGCTCCAATGGACTGGTGATGGTTTCTCCTGGCTCAAGTGGAAAGAGTGCCCAGATCAATTAGTAATGTCTGCCACTGCTACAGAAGAGGTATGTGATAGAGGGCTGTCAGCTGACCCAGCCCTAGGTCATGCAATAGATAGCAATTAGAATTAATGTTTATTGATGGATTCTGCAACTAGGATGGAATGCGAAAGTGACTCACTCCACATCCTATTGTTAAATTTCTCTTACCCAGTCATCTCTCCTTCTCCACCTTTGTCTCTCCAGTTAGGTTGGGTGTTCCTCCATGGCCAGGGATGGGTCTGGTTCATGTCTGGACTCCCACTGCCTGCACACAACACAAAGTCCTCGGTGAGTGTTTAGGGGGAGAAAATGAATGTAATTAAACTTGGTTCAACAATGATGGGTCCATAAGGTGAATGAGTGGACATGCAAATGGACAATAGAATCTCAGCTGACACCCCCCAAATGTCTGCATCAGCCTCACTGCATCAGCCTCGCTGAGAAGTGAAGAGGACAGAGCCTGGCCTCTTGGAGTTCCTGGATGTGGGACTCTCACCAGCCACTTTATCCATAAGCTCACATTTCAGGGGTGTAGAAAAAGCGCTCCCATCTTTCCAGCTGTGGGTTGGCACATTAGCAAAATATCCACAAAATATAGGTTTGGGGAAATCATTTTATAAAATGGAATAAACCATTATCCAAAAGAAAATTGCCCAATCATTAAAGGGATTTTTTTTAACCATTCAAATACCCATGGCCTTTATTCCCAATCGCCCTGTTCCTGCTGTGTTACAGAGGGAGGAAAATGTAGATTTATTTGTATCTTCCAATATGCCTATTCTCTGTATGAGGCATCCATGCCAACTATGTGTGAAGAGATATAAATATTCCAATTCAGTTACAAAAGGATGTAGATTTGGAATTCTGAACCTCTTGATTTCAACTGTTTACAAAATCTTTCTCCATGCAGTGATTTGTTCAAGGTATTTAATAAGCAGACAAGTCTATAAAAAGACAGAAGGCATATTGTTTTTTATTAAAGATGACCCTGCAATCTCAATCGCTTTGAAATATATTCTTTTTCTCCCTTTCCTGGAAGATTGGAAACCTTTAGGTTTTATAAGCAAGAAAGGGAAAAATGAAGTGCATAAATTATAAATAAACAACTCCACACAAATTGAAACATTTTTAATGAAGTCTAAGTCAACAGTTCTAGAAGGTACTAAACACACCTTTCGCAGCCCCATTCATTCATGTATCTGAGAACCACAGAAAGAGCGTAGTGTCTCCTCCTGGAATACAGACCCTCGTGGAAGGGATGCTTGTGAGGATCAGAACTGGATGCTGTGGAGATCCCAGCCCAGGCACTGGGTTCAAGCCTCCTTTGGGGAGGTTCATGCTCTTGTGTTCCCTCCTGGCGTCTTCCATCAGGCATTCATTCCTTATTCCATATCATATGCAAAGCACCTAGTTGGTGCGAGGCAATGGGTTGGGCTGTGAGGACCCAGAAATAGATGCGATCAGTTCTTGCTCTGGAGATTCTGACAGCCAAGAGCAGATGCCTCCAACTGCACTGAGTAGAATGCAAGCACCCAGTGGCATGTTGGAGTCACCTGTGGGAGCTCTGGGGATCTGGGGCCCTGGGAAACACACACACACAGTCTTCTTTCTCAGAGGCCTTCAAAGATTCTTTTGTATGCCTGATTGTGATGTTTTTAAATTTTTTTTCATAGATTCAGTGCCTACCATGTGGTAGGCATGGTATTGAGTGTGCCTCGGCTATTTGCTCACAGACTCAGGGGACTAAGGCTCAAAGACATGAGTGAACTCCACAAGACACAGAACACCTACATGGCTGACCAGGCTCCAACCCAGCGCTTCAGGCTCCAAACCCAGCGGCGGTCTCTCTCCCGTACCACAGAATGCATGAGAGGATGAATCTTGAGGATCTTTAAATGCCTGCTGACTTCCAGGCTTCAGATGAATAATCACATGTGCAGAGTGTGTGTGGGAGAGGATGCAGGAACTGCCTAAGGGAGCCAATCACTTTACTTGCAAGATAGGAACCTGGGGTCCAGAGAGGGGAACTGACCTGCCCAGGGCACACAGCACAGAGCTAATCCTGGAATCCAGGTCTTCTGTCTCCCAGGACACCACGCACAGCTCCACGCCACCTGCCTGTCCTCCCTTCCCATGCCTTCCCCATCCTCCACATGACACGTGGATACCAAGTCAAAAACCATCCTAATGAAGTTGCTGTAAATATTTTCCACTTGGTTTGCAGGTTAGCAAGATTCCTTTTCTGCCTTGCAGCTTTAGACAATTTACGCTTCCATTCTCAAAACAGATTTTTATCCTAATAAAGGCGTTTATTACTATTATTCACCTGTCATTACACAGCATTAGACAATTACATAGCACAGACTGACTCTCCCACCACGAACCTTCCCCTCCGCTCTCAGTGGGGGAAGGGGGTGCACACAAACAGAACATTTCATTAAAAAATAGAGAGGAATCTTTAATTTTTAAGCGCTGCCAAGCCTGCTACCTACGCTTTTTAAAACTTTGTTGTGAAAAGTCACTGGCGTGAGCGAGAGGGAGATAATAAAGAAGTGTGGGCTAGAAACCGTCTCCAGCCCCATTTTGATTGCCAGACGATTGACAAAATAATTTGTACCCGTCGATGCTCATGAAGGGAATTTTTACAATGGATTTGCCAAGCAGATTTTTAATTTTAATCAGTAATGAAAAAATGACAACATGGATCACAACAAGACATCAGTTGCTGAACGGGCTTTGCGGTCCCTGTCAGGCAGCCTCTGTGAGGAAACCGCACCTCCGTTGAGCATCAATCACTCGTTTCAAACTCCTGTACATCTTCAGGATTTAATTAGACATTTAAGTTCTTTATCCGCAATTTGCAAAACTGTCACTTACCAAAAGTGCAAGATGCTAAAAAATATTCTGCTTGAGTCCTGAGGGACTGTTTATCTCCTTCCTGGGAGAGGATTAGAAGTTAACATTTGGACACACACACCCCAACCAAAAAAATTATGTATTTTATATACACACACACACACACATACATTCTCACTCAGCTACTGTGCCTGACCCACAGCTACAGATATTTTCAAAGAGCAAAAAGTAAAAGATCATTGATTGTGCTGAAAACCAACCCCAATCTCTGCTGTGGAAGGACAAGAGGAAGAGAGTGCGTGAGATAGAGGTTTATTCTTTTTGTCAAGAACTTAATTCTAAGACCGTCTTGATCTTGCTGACTTGCTGTGGTCTGGAAAGCAGAACTTTAGAGAAATGTTCACCCATATGACCTTGAGCCAACTGGCTCTGCCTCTCCTAGCCTTTATTTCCTATAAACCTAGAAAATAAGTAAATAAGTAACCATCTCTTATTAACGAATTGCAACAATGCATTTTATATGTCCCTGTAGAGTACTTCAATACAGGTTGACACCTTAAGAGGTACTGCCTCTCCATCAGCAAGCTGCAGAGAATCAAGAAACGTCCCAACCATCTGAAGACGGAGGTGGATGGACACTGGGAATACCACAGGGACGTGAGATCCAGGGACAGGTCAGCATCTCAACCCACCGTGGCAGGAACCAGGCCTGCTGCCAGCCAACGCTGCTAGCCAGCCCTGTGACCACCTGTCCCAGAATCGCTGGCCAGCAGCTGTGACCAAAGGCCACCATGATATATAGTGTATTTTCCTGTCTGGGGCTTTCAACTTCCACCTTCAAAAGCCCCTGAGGCTGTGTTTGCTTTGAAATCTTTGGGGCTTGGGGCTTGGGGCTTTTTGTTCTGTTTGGTTTTCTGGTCAAGATTGAAGGGACATATTCTTGGTTTAATTTTTCAGGGATGAGAGAGTGGGTTGGAGGATGAATCTTCCAAGGTTTGCCTGGACTCTTGACTCAGTTACGTCGCTCCCAAAGCAGAGCAGGAAATAAATAAGGTCTTTTCCTTTAAGAGAACCTTGGCTTACTAAGGCACATTATTGAAATGAGTATAAAAGGTGGATTGTGAAAAAGTCATTACTCACAGATAAGAAATGCACCCCAGGCGAAGCTGAGCACAGACTTATTTTCTAGCTGAAGTTTCTTTCAATTGATCTTCACTCTCCACCCCTAAAATGGTGGGATGGGTACGAAGGGGCTTAGAAAGCTTGTTTTCACCTTTCATGCAAGTCTCCGGGATGGTGAATGGCCGAACTGCAAGCCTTAAGCCAATTTACTAGTCAACATGGACAACATGGACTTTGCAAATTCACCCCTACCAGGATGACCTGTTCTCACCGGGGGAATCCCTACTGCTCTGCTGCAGGAGACAGACAAACGCTGTCTTCTTATCCCACTAGCCTTTCTTCATCTTTGCTTCCAAATAACCTCCAGGCCTTTCCCAGAAGGACGCAGCCTGTCCTGTCTGTACTGCAGACTCACGGAGCCCAAAATTCCATGATGCAAGAGTCAGCAGGAACTGAGGCTTGGCAAGTCTAGGGCTGGGACTCTGAGGCCAAGGTTTGGGCGCTAAGCCACTGTGTGACACTAGCAAGCCATCGCCGCTCTCCAAGGCTCAGCTCCCCAGCCTGAAAACCAAAGGAGCTGGCTGCGATGACCACTAAAACACCTTCCACCCATTCTATTAAACCATGACCTTGGGTGAAAAAATGTTAATGTAGAGAAAAGCAAAATGAAGTAAACACAGGTTTTAGAATCAGCAGACCTAGGTTCAAATCCCAACCCTGCCACAAGTTTCTGCGTGTGTGTGTGTGTGTGTGTGTGTGTGTGTGTGTGTGTGTGTTTGTGTGTGTGTGTGTATTTGTATATCAACCCTTCTGCACCCACTGCAACCATAGGGTCACCTCCTCCAAGAAGCCCTCCCTGATGCCTCTTTCCCTAGGCTGGGGAATAAAGGAGGCAGGGCCTCTAGGGAGGGCTTGACCCACAAGTCCCTGCCCCCACCTCATTGTCCTGCCAAGGCTCCATCCTGGGCAAGCATGGTTCCAGTCTGGGGGCACTTTTCACTTCACATTTCTGGGTGAGCCTTTCGTGGCTCTATGGCCTCTATCACTTTTGCCTCTATCCACCTACACCTGTGACTCCCTTTAGAGGACAGGCCTGGGCTACCTGAGCTACACTAGCTGCATTCAGAGAGCCCAAGTGCCCCAAGTTTAACAGCCCTGGTGAGGCCCTGGGGCCATCAGCTCCTTGCCTAAACTCAGGACAAGCTCTGAGGCACAATTTACAATTTAAGCCCCCAGAGCTCCCCCAGGAGATCAGGCTAAGACTGGAAGTGTCCCTGAAATCTCACC